GACAAAGAGCTTTTACGAAATCAACAATTGCGTCACCGTCGAGCCTCGTTGAGCCTGTGAAAATTCTGTCCACGGCCACCACGACACTCTGCGAGCTCGTTTCTCCGATGTGCTCTTTCACACTGGGATCTAATGCCATGAGGCTAAACTTTAAAGCATCGGGTTGAGGTTTGATGCCAGATGTTAAAAATTGAGGACGGACTCCTGTACCTATCAGCTGCGCTAATTCGAGTTGAGAAATACATTTTACTACGTCCAACCAACTACTTCCTAAATAATTTCCATCCGTATGTGCGACAGTGATCAAAGTTTTAATTGTGTCAATATTCTTCGCTTTCATTTCTGTTATCGGTGAGTTAGCCGTTAGCAATGTAAACCTCGCAAGAGCTTGGACGTATGCATCTCTTTCTAAAGACATGTGGAAAATGCAAGCGATACGAATTGCACATCTTATACCATCCAAACACAAAGAAGCTATCTCGGTATCATCACAATCTTGTAGACCCACTGAAAAAGCGGCAAGGAACGGAGTCCACGCCATTTTAAACATTGGCCGCACGTGTTCGACATGTTTCGCAGTTGTAAAAGGCGTCTGCACGTGGGATACCGATTCCATTAAATTCTTAGCAGCGGTTGATATTTGTTCCATCTCCATGTTCCATATGAGTTTGCGTTTCTTTTCATTAGCAATCCTGTGTTGCCCTGGTTTGGACGTATTTTTCATTTTTATTTCATGGCCGGCTATTTCGTCATATATCTGCGACAAGTATTCACGAGGCAGATCATTGTTGTCGCTGATGCCGCTATTCAATTTGATATATTGTTCTTTTGTCATTTTATTCTTAACTTGGGGCGAATGCAAATCCGTCGTCAGCATTATTATGGAAAATGCTAATACGTATACGGTGTCGGCGCTCATGAATAGCGTATTAGTTGGATTGCATTCACAATACCGAGCAGCGAATTTTTCCATAAGCCGGTCAATCTTTTGCGCTTCACCAGGTAACCTAAAGCCTTCTAAGAAATGGCGCAACGCTGCTACGATATCCATGTCAGAGAAGTTCATGGAATCTACGTACGCGTACATTACTTCTTTGGAATGATCGTCATTTTCTCCTAAATATTCACCTATAAATATTTTATCAATCCTCTCGTCAGTTAACAACCATTCTGCTATTTCTTTCGTAGATGTACCCAACAATCCTTGCTCTTGTAAAAATGCAACACCCTTTTTGGGTTTTCTATTAAAAAGATCGATTCCCGTTTCCCAAACTTCCTTTTGCTGTTTGAGAACTTCAAATTGTTCAGGTGAATCTAGAGTTTCTCTGTTCCCAATATTACTAGACCCTGTGGAAACCAAACTTAGACTCGATCCTCCGTGGGATTTAATACTATGATGGTCAGAGTCTTCCTTTGTAGTTCTCTCGCCTATTGTTGTTTGCATGTTGGGGTTGATGTATAATTCTTTACTCCATTCTACCATGCACTTTAAAATCGACACAAGACATTCGAGGCCTCTAATGCGCATCGATTTTTCTTGATTGGGTGTAGCTCCCAATTCTAAAGCTTGTCTTCCTTGCGCAATCTTTGATACATCGTTAACTAATCTCTGGAAAAGATTTGCTGCGGATAGATCGCAATCGTAGTTCACGTAAATATCTACAACACTTTGTGCATCGCCACAAATTCTGGTCAGGGCTTGAATAACCATCCATTTGTGTTCAAATGAAGAACTGGAGGTCTCCAAAATATTCATGAAAATTTCTTTAAAGAAAACTTCAATTTGCTTCTTAAGATGAATTTTGAAGTTTTGAAGAAGGGCCAAGAATATCGCCAGAGATAGTTCAAAGACTTCTGGTACAGAACTTACTCCATTCTTCGATAAGGCGACACAGAGGTACTGCTTGATGGCTGTTATGAACATTTCATTGTTCCGAAACACTGGGCCGGCGTTTTGCAGTATAGAAAGGAGTAAATGTAAAGATAAAATTTTAGACCTCAGCTCATGAGATTTAGGATCAGGAGTTCCCTCTGGTAAGGGTTTCATTGACAGTTTACAAAGTGCTCTGAACACAAGGAATGCATCTTTTTGAAGGACATGTGTGAATTTAGCAGTGACAGAATTGTCATTCTCTGAAGCGACATCTACACTCTCTTGAGATGGTATCCTTGTTATTGAGGATTCATTTGGAATTTGTTCACTCTCCTGGGATACACTAACACTGTCTTGAGAGTCTGATGGGTTTTCATTGTTATCTGGTATGTTCTGGCTCACATCATCTTCAGATTTTTTTGATGCAATTGAAATAGCATTATCAATCACAGAGTCAACTATTTGCTTTGCTATAATTTTAGCTTCCAGTATTTCTTCTGATGGTTCCTCAGGTACAGAGATTTGATCTTTATTTTCTTCACTTTCATTATTCAAATTTGTTTCTTCAGTCACTATATTACCATTGGGAATTTTATTATTTTCAGCAATGTTGGGGTTAGTTTCAGACTCCAATGCTTGGTTCTCCATTTTTGTAAATATCACATTAAGCATTTGAGTTAGAGTCGCCCTCGCTGTTGTCTGGTTTATTAGATTTTTACTTGCTAGGTAAATGTTATAGCAAGTTCGAACAGCAAGAAGCACTGTTCCTTCATGGACTTCCACATGTTGGCTTGTTATAACAGTTAAAAGAGCTTTTATTATCTGAAGTTGAACACCTTCATCTGTCTGTGGACCGTTAAAACAACTACATATTGTCTCTACAATGCGATCAATTAGTAATTTTCTGGGTGTGGTGGAATCAGGGATGTTTCCTGTTAAATGACCATAAGCGATGAGTTTCTGCAAGCAGTCCAGGGCTGTGACGACAATACGCGACGCTTTGCTCTGGCATGCAAGCTCAAATGGCAGGAAATATTTTTCAGCTGTGATAATGTTTGAGGCATCATTTTTTGGTAGAGGCAGAGTGCCTGATGTTGGACTGTCTGATGATTCCGGCTGACCTCCATTCTTTAATTCTGCTTTTATTTCCTCTGAAAATAAGATGTAACACTTTAGAAGACCTAATTTGAAATATATAATATAAAATTTAAGAATACATGCTTTTAGTTTTTTTATCAAACTAACTTCTTAATGGTGATGGTAAGTTACTGTAACTTCAATAAATACTTTAATCTACCTTCTTAATGTAACATACAAGTTGTAGATAATATTACATAACAGAAAATTCTTGAGAGCACCAGAAGTACTGGAAAATTGCCAAGTGATGATAAAGCAAATATTATCTTTACTTATTGTCCAGAATAGTGCTGTACTTTGCTTATCAGTAATTAAAAAATACATGAATTTACCTCAAAATTAACAATTACAAGGACAAGGACAGGACAAACTTTTAATAATATTGCTTTATAATATTATTTTAAAACTTTCATGAAATACTTTGAGTTATGGCTAAACTGATAGCATAGTTCATTGTTTATTTCATTCGGGCTTGGGGAATTAATACATATATTAATATTTTATTATGTGATAAAGTAATTTTATTAGAATAATATTAGATAGCTTTGTTTTATTACACCATGTTCATATAATAAGCGTGGCAACTATCACAGATTTTGTCATTTTTAAAAATTCAATATTAATTCTATTAATACTTTGAACCAAGATATTCCAATCAATGAGAATCTAATGTTTTCTTATTGACATATAAATTCATGCTTATGTTATAAAAAGTCACTAGTTAGTACAGCAATTATTTTTTAAATATTACCCTTTATGACTTAAGGGAAATAAGGCTGTAGATACGTGGAAAAAATAGTACAATCATCCAATGTGACATGTTCTTCATGTTTGTATCTCAATTTAATTAATAACCATTAACTATATCTTTAAGCATTTCATGTTATGATTCATGTTTTTATCATAACATTCTAATACTAATGCATTAATATTGTATTGATAAAAATTAATGAACTTTATATTTTACTTTAAAATGAGAACAAACTAGTTTTATTACTAAACTGATTAAATGCCAAGAATCAGAAGTCATCACTTTAATGCCCTTGCTTTCACATTTCTTAACCAAACATAGGCTAAATATTGTTTCTTCTCAAATGTAGGTAAAGGTGTCATACTCAAGCACCATTAAAGTGTTTTATAGATATTGTATTTGCCAGCAATAACGATATACATACACTAATTTGATAAGGTACATAGACATTGCAACTTTACATCAAGGTCATCACACAAACTTAATCAAAAAAACTTGTAAAACTAAACTTTAACTTAATTAGCATAAGTGATACGTAAATAGTTATATTATAGTAAATCAGTGTTGTAATATATGTTTTCTGTTGTGTAAATGTCAAAATGGAAACCTTACCTAAAGCCACCTCACAGGACTTTTTCAGTTGATTGTGATAAGACCTTTTGATGTCTTTATCCGCTAAAATCTTTTCCAAGGCTCGTACTATAAACATTTCTTTAGTTTTCAGGTTGGTTTGCATCGTTAGTTTATATTATAATCACTCCATTCGTATATATCGGAGTGCGACTCAACTGCACGGAGCGAAAGTAGACATTTATGATATTATTGAGGCACTCTTGTATTGCATTCGTTGATTAATTTCACGTGAAAAAGTTGCACAATAAATGTAACATCACAAATATTTAAGCAGTTAAGGATTTGTATGAATCCATTGCAGCGAGAGAGTGATTTTAATTTCTATAAAGAGTATAAAAAGATTTGGATTTTAGATTTCACACACCTCATCACAAACATGTCAATTGAAAAGATGCATTCAATTTAATTTTGTCACTTTTGTCCAAATATTAGAATTAAATACAAAGAAAGAAATTAAATCAACTTATTGTTCAAACAACAAAATTTTTAGATTTATTCGTATTTCTGACGTGCGATCATTGCGATTAATTTAATTTTTTTTGTTTTTAACATTTTTACGTGTAAATTATAATCTGTTTAAGCATAAATTCAAATTCGAATTGACGGATGTCAATGTGACGTTTTTCGTGATGCATGGTGTTTATTGTATATTTACCAATTTGAAATTATAGAAAAATTCAAAACACAATCACATAAAGTAATCTTGAAACTGTTAAAAAACTACCTAACAAAATTGCTTCCACAATGACTGTGACGCGGGTTGCGGAGTCCCGCACAGAATTTAAATTGAAGAACTTGCCAGAAGATGCGATTTCTAGCGTCAAGTTTGCACCAAAATCCAGCCAATTCTTGCTTGTTTCATCATGGGACTGTTCAGTTAGGTTATACGACGTCACTTCGAACGTTGAAAGACATAAATATAATCACGAATTGCCGGTTCTCGATGTTTGTTTTAGGGTAAACTATCCGCGAATTTCATACATTTTATGTACCAAAAAAATTACAACTTAACTATTATATGACTTAATTTAGGATGCAGTCCACTCATATAGCGGTGGGCTAGACCAGACTCTCAAGATGTATGATCTCAATGCAAGCTCAGAGACGGTTCTTGGAGAACACAAAGGAGCAATTCGCTGTGTGGAGTTTGCTAGTGAGGTGAACGCCGTGCTCACGGGCAGCTGGGATGGGACAGTCAAAATGTGGGACAGCCGTGTCCCTAATTGTGTGGGCACATACAACCAAGGGAATGAAAGGGTAAAATCAACTTCATACTCAACAAAATCTAATCTTACTAATATTATAAATGCGAAAGTTTTGATGGATGGATGTTTGCTACTACAATCTTCAGAATAGCTCAACAAATCTTGCTGATATTTTAGCTATTTAAAAAAACTTAATTTGAAGAAACATTTAGTTTTTTTTTTAATTTTTGCAAGGATGGTCTTGTGGATCAACTATTATCAATAATTTTTGATGCATTTCATCATATTTTAGTATCATCTGATCATCTATCTTCAGATATCATCACATCTGATATTGCATTAAACTGTGACAGTGTTGTAATCAAATTTCTTAACTTTAAATTGAATTTTCCAGGTGTATACAATGAGTATAGTTGGAGAGAAGTTTGTAGTAGGCACTTCAGGTCGTAAAATCTTTGTCTGGGATGTACGTAACATGGGCCATGTAAACCAAAGAAGGGAATCATCTCTCAAGTATCAGACTCGTTGTATACGAGTATTCCCAAACAAGCAGGGATATGTTCTCAGTTCTATTGAGGGCAGAGTGGCTGTAGAGTATCTGGACAGCAATCCTGAAGTACAGAAAAAGAAATACGCTTTTAAATGTCATAGGATTAAAGATGGTGGTAAGTGAAAACAATGATAGATGAATAGATTTAATATGTCACTTGAGTATCTTTAAAAGAGTAATAATTAAATGTTGAAGGTAAAGTTGAATGAAATAATTTTTTTAAGTGAATTTTGCCACCAATTTGATACAAGCTTGCAAAATTTTCTACCTAAAATATAACATTGTCCAGCTCTGTGAACCACATTGGCCCAATGTGGTTTGTTTGACTTCACACTTGTTTTTGACTTCAATATATGCATTGCATTACAATGTTTTCCATCACCGTAAGAATGTTTACTCGACGTACGCGTAAAATTATTATGAATTCTTATTTCTTTTTCAGGTTTGGAAAAAATTTACCCTGTCAATGCAATCAGTTTCCACTCTGTGTACAATACATTTGCGACGGGCGGTTCCGATGGCTATGTAAACATATGGGATGGGTTTAACAAGAAGAGACTTTGCCAATTTCATAGGTATGTTTTAAATTTATTTAAAGACTCGAATGGTAATAATTCTTTATTTACATATACTCGTCCTCGATCTAGTCTATCATAATGACATTTCTTTTTCTTCCTCTTCACTGACATGTGCCATCGAGGTCTCTGCATGCCAGATACATCGCCACATATTGTCATTCTCTTTGAGACAAAACAGACAATATTATGCTTTTACATTTGTCTGGGATTGTCCATTTTATTTTCTAATTGATGGCAGATATTAAATGAATAAATAAACAATGTTTTAGAGTTAATGAGAGAGGTAATCCCTTTCCTTAATTTATTTCCCAATAAATGTGTAGATACAATACAGCAGTGTCAGCGCTGAGTTTCTCCCACGATGGGTCAGCGCTGGCCATCGCGTGCTCCCAGCTGGACGAGTCCCAGGCCGAGGAGCCCCGGCCCGAGGACACCATCTACATCCGCTATGTCACCGACCAGGAGACCAAGCCCAAATGAGGCTCCCAGACACCCCGCTAGAGCCCCAGCAGTGCTTTATATATCTTATAGTGAAATTGTGCCTTTTATAGTCACTTAAATTTAAATAAGAGTACATTTTTGAGTTTTTAGGACTCTTTTTTTAAATGTGGTAGTTTTAAAATGGACAAGAGTCAATTTTTAATATGTTTTTGGTGTATAATAAAATTCGTAAAACATTTATTTGATGTGTACATTGTTTTTTTTTTAATTGTAATGTGTGTTTAAATAGTTTCTGTGTTTCGTTTTTCATACATATAATTGAAGTAGTACTCAGTATGTGAGCGTTAATCATGTTTAGGAATCAATGTTTCTTTGTGTTTGTAGATATATAAAGCCTGTGGGGTCTGTCGGGTGTTCACAGATTGGATGTGTCAGTGACGTACTATAAGTGATAAGTGAAGTTTAAATAAATAATTAGTTTATATATATTGTTTTATTTTTAATACAACTTCCTTAAGTGTTTATTGATCAAAGTTTACGAACTTTGATTGAAATCTTTTCAGTAGAAATACACATGTAATTAAATAGTCTAAATAATACCTAAGATTTTAAATTACACGGTTCCCCATATGTTGTACAGTAAAATTTCCGTAACCCCCCACAACTCGTTCATTTAATAAAACGTTATAGACGGGACTTTTTTAATACCTATAGTCAGATATAAACAATAAAAAAAATATTTATTTGCATAGGAATATTACATAAAAAAAACTATTTCATTAACATTTCATAGTTATTAACACCATACTGAAAAACGTTTCTAACAATATACTAGATTAAAAAGTAACCGGAAACAAGTCGTTGTTTATTCAAGGGAGTGCCTTTCGCGCCAGATTATAAAACCTGCCTTTGTGAACTTTGAAAGGAGAGAATTCGCGCACAGTATAACTTAACATTAAACCTCGTATTACAAACATTTTCAAATTAACACATTTCGCGTGCACACAAGAGGCGCGTTCGCGAAAGGATTTTGCAATTAAATTTAAGAGTACTTTCAAGACCATCGCAAAAACATTGTCGGGAATATTTTGACGTATAGCTGTCAAGATAAAGTCTATTTTCGTTCGGATGTGGTGCACAGATAATGTTGCGAGTACGTAAGACTCGACCGGTCCAAATTGCCGTTCAAACAATGGTCATATTTGCGACCACCTAAAGCCTTCTTAGAAATGTTACTCGCGTCGAAGTATGAAGATGGGCCTGTGTTTGCAGACGCCATATAACCCCTCTCGCGTAATTATATTCTACTATTAGAAGCTTAGCTAATTGAGGAAGTAATACACGCCTGGTCTCTCGTTTGCGCGCCTGCACAAAACCACTTTCTGTTTACTGAAATCACGGCCTGTTCAAATTTGTAACGGCATAGGTTAGTTAAGCGTTGTTTCAAGTAAGCACATGCGAAATTGCTAATAAAGTTAAATCACTATTTATGGATTGTAGCTTCTGTTTGTGGAGTATTTTCCTTTCCCGTTATTTGTAAATTGCTAAAAACTTTCATTTGTTAATTATTTTAGAATGATATCCTGGAATACTTTGTGGAGATTTGACCAATCACATAATGCGAATTTTGTAGGGCACACTCACTTGGGATTTTTGTCAGTCATTTCTAATCCATAACAACTGTTAGACTTCGCTTTGTAAAGGATGGTAATTACAGTTTTTGCAGAGTTAAACTATTAGGCGTTGAACTTTTATAAAATAATCGCACCGCAGCTAAGTAATTCGCAGTATTGATTTTATAACGTTTCGTTTGAATCTATCACAGTAATTCGCTCATAGGTACTTATTTGTTACATTTGATCGTTATTCGGAGAGCTCTTCACATATTCTGTAGGCGTTACCCACTTGTGTCTAGTGTGTTCTACGCCTTACGAGACGGGTATAGAACTATAGACTTATTTGCATTACATTATTGCACGATAAGTGTCATTATTGCTTGTACGATATGTTGTTATGCGTAGGTGGACATTGATAAGGTTGGCCAGGAATCTCAATTGATTTGGACATTTTTAAAATAAAAGTAACACAGTACTCGAATATGTTCACATTCATTTCTAAAGAAAATAAGATGATTGTGATTAGTGATTTTCCGAGGACCAAAATGGAAAACGTTGTTTTTAGTACCTTTTAGTACTAATATAATCTGTACTTCTATTTCTGTCATGTTTTGGCAGCTGTCAGATATAACTAGGGATGTGAATTATTGAATTTTGTATTCAATACTGGAATTATAATTCACTAAGCATCATGATAAGTTATATTGTATGTATATAAAGTGTCGACAAATCAAGGAAACATCATGTAATACAAACTTGTTCTTTGACTCTTCGATTATCAATACGGGAACGTCACGCTGTGGCAATTTCATTAAACAGATTGAGCACAGATAATAAATAATTTATCACGCATCTCTGGCGGCGAACGGAAATTGTCACTCGCAACATAAGTTTTTTACTTATTTGGTAAGTTTCAATCGCATCTCGATGTTTCTTCAAGCCTAGTTAGCACAGCTGTGTATCGATAAGCGTTTACATAGATTTTCACAGTGATTGGTACTTGTTAAATGTAAAATATTATGTTACTTGTTATTCTAACTTAATTGCAATTTGTCACTGTAAATAGATAGTGTCTAGTACTATCATGTTATACCGGCTTACTGTTCCCTTCACAAACATATAAAGAAGATATAAATATGTATTTAACATAATATAGATAAAGGATACTACTGCTTGAAAAAAAAAGGTTAGGTCTATAATACGCTAACTCTGTGGTCACCCTACACACTTCAAATTGAATGGACGACAAATTGCCGCAATGATTTCAAAACACAATTAATTTCGTTTAATTACATTTCGTTAAACGCATTTCTTGAATTATTGTCGGAGCTCGTCGTTAGCTATCGCCTTTGTAATTAATTTAGACAAACTCATTACTGCACATGAGTTATGGCGCGTCGATTCTCTTTTGTACCGCTCTCTGTCGTACAATGGAAATATTGAGACGTGCGTGAAACGAGACGTTATTGTTTAATTAATGGGATGTTGTAAAAAACATTTGAAAGAAACGAACACCAACAGCTTAGCTTGCCACTTCAATGTAGCTACATCTCGCGTTCCAATTCAAACACGAAAAATTGTCAACACAGATCAAAACTTACACTTTTTAGTAACGTGTAATTAGTCCTATTTTTTACATATTATGTGATATTATAAGCTTGTGTTATTTTATAAATAACAGAATAAATCTATAAAGGACGTTTTCTTAGGTTCCGTGTTAAATTAAAACAGGATAGTGTAATATCTGTGATAATTTAAAAGGTTGTTCTTTAATATTACGAGCCGTAAATTAGACTCCTGGGTGTTAACGCATTTTAATTCGCATCTGACATTTTCTTGCCATCAATAGCTGGGTAGCGTTTGTTTTATAAATTAACAAAAGCTCGCGACTTGACGGAGCATTTACAGTGTTAATAATAATGCGAAATATTTTAAGACATACGTATTATTGTCCTTATTACAATACAATGCTTCTGGTGTTAAGGTTATATTTTAAACATAAACTTGTTTAATATAGTTCTCTAACCTCAATCTTTAGACTAGCAGTGTCATATTGCCGTGTATTTAAAACATCATTAAGGATAAAGCATTTATACGTGTTAATGAAATAATTTGCAAATGTTTGCCGATATCGGAATGTATCAGTGGACTTATCGCACTGAATGCGTATTACTCGAACTCCAAATGAAGATAAAGCGTGTCCCTGTCTATCTTAATGTCTTTCAATTAAAGGAAACCGGTGGCTGTGGCGACGCGGGCAATTTTCATCTGTTAATGTCGCTACTTGCGACGAAATCATTCTAAACGCAATTAGATATATTTTGTTCGTTATCTGTGTTATATGGCACATTTTGAAATATAATTTAAAAAGTACAAATGTTTCTTTGCCATTATCTGTATGAAATTTGTGAATAACAACATCGATGACATTTATAGCTTGCAATAAATAAAAGTTCCGCGAAATAAAAAAATTAAGGACCTTGACGCGATCGCTCATTAGTTAATGTCACATGCAGATAAAGATGGCGTCTAAATATATTTGAGTTTATTTGTGATACATTTGCCAATACCAACGTCTGTCGTCTGCCGGAGGAGAGCTATGGGCGTCCATTAAACAGCGGCGAGCCTTTAACTTATGCTAAAATGTCCACTATCTCCGTCTTAATGGAAAACAGGTGTGAATTTATGAATTGTATAAGCTCTCAGATATAACACGAGAGTTCCGATGTGTTAGTCACAATAATTTCTCTTTAATAGGGACCTATAATAAAGTTATCTAGTCACCGGAGTGCAACTGTGGGAAACGCAAACACTCGCCTCAACTCGCTAATACGAAATAAATTGAGCCTCAATAAAATCTAGTCGTGAAACGGAACGCTTATGTGAAACAGAGACGTCCGTCTTTGTTTGACAGATCCGAGTGACATCTCAACATGGAAGTATCTTACGATTGAGGTGGCAATGGAATATTTATACACTTGTATAACGCACTTAATTAGTAACTTATTAAAACAAATTAACTGCCTGTTTCAAGTCTACCATGATAAAACTTTTACACGTGTTTCCACACTAAGTATTATTTTATTATTCACTATTTAACAGAAGAGTACATAACAAGGAAGTGTATATTTTCCATTAATTACATACCTTCATTGTTTTTTCACAAAATTAAATAGAATCTTATTATAATGTCAAATGGATAAATTAAACGAGATAAGCTGGTCATACCGGCGCTACGTGTTAAGTATATTATTTGCATATAAAGTACATACCTCTGTACATTACTTACACATATGTATAAATCAAACGTAGATTATATAGTTAAAGTCTAATTTACTGACATACTATATTGAAATTAGCAGACAACCTCACACCTACGCCATTAGAGACAAATTGAAGTCACGGAATGTCGCTTTAATACGAACGTGTTACGTAAAATGTACCCTGATATATTCGAAGGTGATAATTATGTGCGCACTTAAAAAACAAAGCATTATCAGAAATCATTTGTTACAATGAGAGATAATCAAAATACCGCATCTATTTCATTTGATTACCGAATCCATGATCGCCCGCCCACGCGCCCTCGCCGCGATAGAATGTAACGTCATAACGGTTTATTTAGTTCCCGTGCTATAAAATGTTTTGTATAACATTATTTAATTGTAATTAACCCATTTATTTTTAAATTAGTACATATACCAACTAAATCCGTGCAAAGTGCAATGCACGCCTAGCGCCTATGGCGGGATCAGCCTGCATTTGTACCGTAAATTCGGGCGCGTTCTTTTTGACCGACTTCCCAAAAGACGGAGGTACTCAATTCGTCTGTATGTTTTTTTATTTTTTTTATATGTGTTACGGCATA